CCCCACAATCTATACAAAGTGCAAAAACTCACTGGATTTAACTGGGGAATTTGGCTGTTTAGCTGGGACTAAAGATCCAATGCCGGCCTTTAAAACCTCAAAATTGTGCTCACGGTTTCCACTATTCCTGATCAAATCAAACTGAAGTTTACGTGCTTTAGATTTCACAGGTAGAGCCAATGCTCTGGCTACGTCACTTTCATTCCCATGTTTTCTAGACAAATGACGGGACATTTTGTGGCAGGACATTGAACAGTAGAGGCAGAAGTGCCTCTTGCTGTAAACTCTCCCCCCATTTTTCTTCTTTTGCAGCTGCATGATAACAATCTTATTTGCCTTTGGTTCGTCACTTTCCGAGTCTTGAAGAAAAGTATTTTTGATTTCTTTTTCCATAATTTTTTACAGGTTTCTTCTTGACAGTTAAATCGTCAGAATCTGAGTCGACTTCATCAATTAGGGACTCTTGACTAAGCTGCACAAACAACAAATAATTTGTAATAATTCTATATAACAATATGAAGTCAGAACTTGTAGTCAGAACTTACCAGTGGTTTGTAAGCGTGGGCTTCAGTGTGCTCCTCCATGATTTCTTGCAGCCTAAAGAATCTTCTTTTCACACCTGATTTCCTCTGTTGCTGCCTCCATGATTTGCTCCGCTGGACTGAAATTGCCCCAGTGTGCCCCTCCTTGATATCCCGCAATCCACCACCAGGGTTCCGACACATAACACACTTTTTTCAGGAAAGTAAACCTCCAGGGGTCCTTTCCATATTTTTGCAGAGACTGCATAAGGACCGTTAGAAAAGCATTACCCATTGATTATTAAGCTTGGACCAGTGGGATCCGGTGTTCGGGCCCCACCACGTAAAACCAGTCCCCATGACGTGAGTGGAATCTCAGGTTATGGAACCCACCAGGAGTTGAAAACAAGTGCACACACACCCAAAATGGTTAAAACCTAGAGTATGTGCTCTCTACATTCATGAGTAAGATCCCGCGACATAACCTTGGCAACTACACGGCCTAATACACACGCTTAGAATTGGCTGTTAGCTTTTTTAGAATTTCCTACTTATTTGTTTTGTGGATGTGTTTCCACTGCTTCTGGACACCTGAATTTCTCCTACGGGACTCAATAAAGTATCTATTTACAGTGCCTTGCGAAAGTAACCTTTCGCCACATTTCAAGCTTCAAACATAAAGATATAACATTTTATTTTTTTGTCATGAATCAACAACAAGTGGGACACAATCGTGAAGTAGAACAAAATTTATTGGATGATTTAAACTTTTTTAACAAATAAAAAACTGAAAAGTGGGGGGTGCAATATTATTCGGCCCCTTTACTTTCAGTGCAGCAAACTCAGTCCAGAAGTTCAGTGAGGATCTTTGACTGATCCAATGTTGTAAATAAATAGAATGCACCTGTGTGTAATCAAGTCTCCGTATAAATGCACCTGCTCTTTGATAGTCTCAGGATTCTGTTTAAAGCGCAGAGAGAACCATGAAGACAAAGGAACACACCAGGCAGGTCCGAGATACTGTTGTGGAGAAGTTTAAAGCCGGATTTGGATACAAAAAGATTTCCCAAGCTTTAAACATCTCAAGGAGCACTATGCAAGCAATTATATTGAAATGGAAGGATTATCAGACCACTGCAAATCTACCAAGACCCGGCCGTCCCTCCAAACTTTCATCTCAAACAAGGAGAAGACTGATCAGAGATGCAGCCAAGAGGCCCATGATCACTCTGGATGCACTGCAGATCACTACAGCTGAGGTGGGAGAGTCTGTCCATAGGACAACAATCAGTCGTGCACTGCACAAATCTGGCCTTTATGGAAGAGTGGCAAGAAGAAAGCCATTTCTCAAAGATATCCATAAAAAGTCTCGTTTAAAGTTTGCCACAAGCCACCTGGGAGACACACCAAACATGTGGAAGAAGGTGCTCTGGTCAGATGAAACCAAAATCGAACTTTTTGGCCACAATGCAAAACGATATGTTTGGCGTAAAAGCAACACAGCTCATCACCCTGAACACACCATCCCCACTGTCAAACATGGTGGTGGCAGCATCATGGTTTGGGCCTGCTTTTCTTCAGCAGGGACAGGGAAGATGGTTAAAATTAATGGGAAGATGGATGGAGCCAAATACAGGACCATTCTGGAAGAAAACCTGTTGGAGTCTGCAAAAGACCTGAGACTGGGACGGAGATTTATCTTCCAACAGGACAATGATCCAAAACATAAAGCCAAATCTACAATGGAATGGTTCACAAATAGACGTATCCAGGTGTTAGAATGGCCAAGTCAAAGTCCAGACCTGAATCCAATCGAAAATCACGCCCCACTTTTCAGTTTTTTATTTGTTAAAAAAGTTTAAATTATCCAATAAATTCCGTTCTACTTGTTGTTGATTCCTGACAAAAAATAAATTTTTATATCTTTATGTTTGAAGCCTGAAATGTGGCGAAATGTTGAAAGGTTCAGTACTTTCGCAAGGCACTGTACACAGATAGTAAACATGTCCCTTCATTCTGGAATATTCCCAAAGGCCCTGAAAACTGCAGTCATCTGGCCCCTTCTAAAAAAGAGCAGTCTGGATGCTACGGTACTGAACAACTATCGTCCCATCTCAAATCTGCCATTTATGGGGAAAGTCCTTGAAAAAGTAGTCTACCAACAGCTTACTAGATTTCTTATAATCAACAACTCATTTGATATGTTTCAGTCCGGCTTTAGACCCCACCACAGCACTGAGACGGCTCTCGTCAAGGTTACAAACGATATCCGGCTGAACATTGACACAGGCAAAGTCTCAATCTTAATCTTGTTAGATCTGAGTGCACCTTTTGACACTGTCGACCATGAAATCCTCTTACAGAGACTAGAGGACTGGGTTGGCGTCGCTGGCACCGCCTTAAGTTGGTTTAGGTCTTATCTTGAAGACAGGAAGTACTTTGTGGAGATTGGAAACTGTGTCTCAGATCATATGGCCCTGACCTGTGGAGTACCACAGGGGTCGATCCTGGGACCTCTTCTGTTCAATCTCTACATGCTGCCGTTAGGTCAGTTAATACGCAGAAACGAAGTGTCCTATCACAACTATGCAGACGACACTCAGATCTATGTCTCACTGAATGCAGGAGAACATGGACCAGTGGACTCACTCCTACACTGTATCCAACAGATCAGTGGGTGGATGCAAAACAACTTCCTTCAGCTAAACGCAGACAAAACTGAAATGATTGTCTTTGGTCCCCAGAAACAAAGAGAGAGCGTCATCTGTCATCTGCAGTCTCTCTCCCTAAAACCTTCAAACAAGGTCAGAAATCTAGGGGTAATACTGGACTCAGACTTAAATTTTAATAGCCACATTCATTCATCCAATCAGTAACATCAGCAGCTTTTTATCACCTAAAAAACATCGCCAGGATCAAAAACATAGTGTCTAAAGCAGACTTGGAGATTCTTATCCATGCATTTGTCTCCAGTAGGTTAGACTACTGCAATGGCCTGCTCACAGGTCTGACCAAACAGGCTGTAAAACAGCTGCAGTACATTCAAAATGCAGCAGCTCGAGTCCTGACTAGAACCAGGAAGTACGACCACATTAGTCCAGTCCTCAGGTCCCTGCACTGGCTTCCTGTGGCTCAGAGAATAGACTTTAAAACAGCTTTGCTTGTGTACAAGTCTCTCTATGGCCTCGCGCCAAAATATATTAGTGACATGTTAGTCCATGAACCAGCCCGGACTCTGAGGAGCACAGGGACTGGACTCCTGTTAGTGCCCAGAGTCAGAACTAAACATGGGGAGGCTGCTTTTCAGATTCATGCCACAAAAATCTGGAACAATCTTCCTGAAGATGTGAGACAGGCCTCCTCTCTGACAATGTTTAAAACCAAGTTAAAAACAGTTCTGTTTAGCTGTGCATACAACTGAGGGATTGTATATTTTATATTTTTATCTTTCTTTTTAATGTACTGTGATTATTAATGATTTTAATGCTTTCTTATTTTTGTTCGTCACTTTGAGTTGCCTTGTGTATGAATTGTGCTATACAAATAAACTTGCCTTGCCTTGCCTTGACGTCACGGCACGTACCCACAAGACCAGCCTCCCACGCTCGCTGATTGGTTGGATGGGATACAACAACCGAGGTAACTGCAGACACTGGGATCAGACCCATTTAGATTTTTTAAAGGTTTTATTGTAATTTATATTTTGTTTTATTTTGCAGTCGAACATTAATCAACAGACAGTTATTTGAACAAAACAAAGAGAAAAGGATAAAATAAACAAAACTAGATAATGAAAGATAATTATAATGAAGAAGGCAGCAGGCCTACACAATTAACTTTGTAACATTATGCACCGTGTCAGAGCTATTCAAAGAAAGGAACTTTGATTTTATTTTTATTTTTTTTGTCCTTCAGTGCTACAAGAGTTCAATAGTATAGGACATACAGACGGGATGTATTTTTCTTAATCTAAGTTAATAAATGGCAATGTATGCATCAGGAAGGATGATTTTGTGTCGTAAAAACCAAGGGCAAATTAGGATGCTATAGGAATCTCTGTAGCGTGTTTAATCAACTCAATACCAATAATATATTTGTGTGTTTATTTTAATTCTGGGAAAACCATCACATGTTTGCACATTTTCCGTTTTCTCGCCTCTGTAGACAACCATATTGTCTAAAGACATGTCTCATCATCATCAATCAATTAATGACATGAATCTGAAATATGATGTTAATGCAGTCAGCAGCTGTTGTGTGCTTCGTTGGTGATGGGGCGGGGGCTGTGTCACTGCTCACATGTAAACTTAAGACAATGCAAGGAAATAGGAAGCCCAATCGCCAAAGAACTGGCTTCCAGAAGTTTCCCAGTTACAATGAACGTGGATGTAGAGACAGCGCCCAAGGTAAAACGGCAGCTCAAACGTGGAGCAATTTGGTTTTACTTTGAAATCTTGGGACAAAGATACAATAGAAACGATGGCTGAAGGTAAGTTCATTTTTAAATCCTCGTCAATATGATACCCCAAGATTTCTTCGTTAACTGTGGATTTAAATACACAGCAATCCCACTGCGAGAGAAGAAGCAGCGGACTCTACCTCGAACCGAAGTCAATTTTGAAGGTATTCGTCAACATTCATGTCATTTGGAAATTGATTTGGAAATACAGCAGAGGAACTAACACCATACATAGACGTTTCAGTTTGGTTTGGATTGTTATATGCAGCAAGACTGACAAAAAATACATCATAAACCATATATATACAGACACAAAAGCTATCTGAATGTGTCGATTTTAGTTTTCATATAATTTACCAAAAACTAAAGTAGTAACATCAGTTCAATGATGAGTACTTAGTACCACAATAGAGACCCTTGCAAAACTACAAATGTTCAGCTTGGTCTTTGTAGGTTGTAATAACTAATATATTTGACATTATATAGTCAAAGCAATCATCTACCCTTATGCTATGAGATAAAATATTGTATTTTTTCCTGATACAGCTCTGGATTTGTCAGGAGGGCTGAGAATAGTCCTCGTGGGTAAGACCGGATCAGGGAAGAGTGCCTCAGGAAACACCATACTTGGGAGAGCTGCTTTCAGGGAAGACCCCAGCTCTGAGTCCGTGACCAAATACTGCGAGACTGAAAGAGGGGACGTGGAGGGGACCGTGGTGCAGGTGATTGACACTCCGGGCCTGTTCGACACTGCCATCACTGAGGAGGAGCTGAAAACCCGGATAGAGGAATGTGTGAAAATGTCCGTCCCAGGGCCCCATGCGTTCTTACTGGTGATCCGGCTTGGGGTGCGCTTCACTGAGGAGGAACGAAACGCTGTCAAATGGATACAGGAAAACTTTGGGGATGATGCTTCTATGTACACCATCATGCTGTTCACTTGCAAAGATCAGGCCAAAGCCGACAACGCGCTGAAAGAGTGCAAGGAGCTGCGCAGACTCTCCATCACCTTCGGTCGGAGGTATCATGCCTTCAACAACAACGACGCAGACGACCGATCGCAGGTCACGGAGCTCATCAACATGATCAAGGAAATGGTACAGGACAATGGCGGTAAGCACTACACCAATGAGATGTACGAGAGAGCCCAGAGGAAACTGCGAGAGGAGGAAGAGCGCAGAAAGCAGGAGGAGGAGGAGAAGAAGGAGGAGGAGAGAAAGATTTGGGATGCAGAAAGAGAAGAGCAAGAGAAAGAGCATGTGAAAACAAAAAAAGTGAAGCGAAAGAACATTCGAGTGGCGGCTGCTGCTGCTGTGATGTTGGTGCTGGCTGGGGTGGTGATAGCCGTGGGGGCCCACACCACAGTGGCCCTGGCTCTAGGGGCCCCTGCATTAGTACTGGGTGTGCTCTGTGGGTTAGGGGCCATTGGCATTTGGAAAGGAGTGACATGTAAACCTAAAGAAAATGTGCCAGTATAACAATCATGAACAAGGACATGTAGAAAATTCTAATAGATTTTGAAGATTGTGTCTAATGTGTTCATTTAATTTAGTATTTCCAATGATGATTTGTTTTGTCCTTTCTTGCAGTAGCCTCTGATTCCATTCCACATGAATAGATGTAAAAAGGAAAAACACAACAATAAATGTATTTGTTTTTCTATTTAGTTTTTTATACTCTTAAAAATAATTGACCATTTTGTTTCTCGGACATACGTTGTCAGACGATATTTTAGTAACATGAGTTCATTTCCCAGAGGAAACCACAGACAATGGCTCGCAGTGACAGGAAACATCCTTCATTGAGCACATGCCTAAGTCTATACTTTAAACACATACAGGAAAAGCCCACACTATATTATTCATTCATTCACAGACCAAAACTTATGTTCAGAGAAGGTCAAATATGATTTGTATGTCACCCTAACATAAAATATGTAGATGTAATTTAAAATGAAAATATTACAATATAACAATAGTGAGTAAGATTCAATTATAATTCCATTGGTGCAGTACTGAAGCTTTCATTTACAGCAGGTTCCCCACAGCTCTGCACTCTTTACAGATCAGACGCTGTCATCAGGGCTGATTGAATAGTCAAACCAAGTGCTGAATTCTATGATTTCGTCAATATAAACAAATTGATATTAATGTTAGAATAAATACGTCTTTTCAAAACCATTAGAAAATTTGTTCACAATCAGAGAAAATCATCATGAGTTGAGAGGAGCAGACTGTAATGGAATGATCTCTGGACTGTGCGCACAGGTGACCTAAAATCATGTCGGCCGCTCTGAAAGACAACAAATATATTCTATTGGGCCCTCCAAATGATCAGGTCATTTTCACCTTTTGTGAACATGACAGCATTAGATAATTTATGATCCATTGTCACAATTGAAAACACGTCATTGGCTGCACCCGGAAAACCGGTTGGATTCCATTTCTAGCATTGTTTCATTTGAATTTGATTTTTAAGTTGATTAATATATCATTGCAGTTACTTCACTTTATGAAACTGAACTGTAAGTCTTTTTTATGAACAGTATGTTTTAAACTATGATCCCATAGACATTAGTATTTATATATAATAGAACCAAATACAGTATCGGAAGTCAATACAATAACAACGTTAATACAAATGGATTTGAATAATATTTTGAGTCATACAAAATTATAACATACAGAAAGCACTGCACCCACATGAGCAACAAGAGAATGAAGAGCAAAACTAAACTAAAAAAGGCACAGGGTGGATCATACATTATTATTATGTACAGATCCTCCTTAATAACAACCATCTGAATGCATTGCTGAAAATGCATTGGTCGCACTGAAGGCAGCACACACCATAAGTTTGGATGTTCATTTCCAGGTTTGGATTTAACCACAATTGTGCCAAATATCAAGAAGAAATGTAATTGAAGACTAATTGTGAACTATAAAAAAACAAATCGTAGTACTAACTTAAATGCTAATTAGTTAAAATGTCTTTGTTAATTACAATTTTGGTAAAGGAAATAAGCTTTAAAATGTATAACATGCCATAGTGTCCCGATACAATCAAGGCTGCAAGTTACTGTAATAATGATACAGTAACTTGCACGAGCCGGATGTGGCCCACGAGCCTGAGTTTGACATGCCTGCCCTACTTTCCCGGAGCCACAGTCACCACCATCCTCAATTTACTTCCCAAACTTTTCAATAATTTATTTGCCATTTTCAGTAAAACCACATTGGAAAAACTGTGCAAGAGTACCCCAGTGTGCACCAGACGGCACACACCAGAGCTCTGGCCACGGCGTGCCCTCAACAATAACCTGGATCATCTGTGTAAGCCCAATGACACTCCACTGCACCAGTCTGAAACCACCAAATTCTATTTTAGGGACCTTCTTATATTAAATTCTGGAAAAGCTGTTTAGATCTCTGGCCCTGGGCCCAGTCTGACACGTGGCAGGGAGCGCTATAGCAGGATTTTATTGCTCAACGTTGGTCTCAACAATACATCACTTCGCCGCAACTTTGATTTATCGACAACTTGAATATGTTCTTGGACCGCTCCCCCTTCACACTCCACACATCGACCAAACCTTATCTACAACATCATCTGCAATCCCATCCCACCGACCTTTGACAACCCTCCACCTCATCCCCCATCTCTCCTGCCCCTTTGGACACCAACACCGGCCCCTGCTCTCCTCCCCAGCATGAGGATTCTAGTTTTGTGCTGACCCCGCCCCTATGGACCGCCCATACTCAGGAAACCCTCCCTCAACTGTGAGTGTGTCTTCTGTCGTTGACTTGTCTGTTTTTGACCACTGTTGTGTATTTTTAAATATGTCCGGTTTTATTGTGAAGAAGTGAAAAGTGGCCGCAACTTGACATTCTGAATAACAATTCTAAATTGGGATTACGCCCAGGTTTTATAACCAATAATTTCAACAGTTGACTCAGTTCTGCGTTGGAACAGGTTTCCCCGGCTCAAAACAAAAACTATCCAGACGTGGAAAAATTAGGAAGCCCAAAGAATGAGAAGAGACATTGACGTTAATCACCAAAAACAAAACAAAAACACTAAAGTCCTCTTCTCAACCAGAATAAACCATGATTTTAGCATGTCTCTTTTAACTCCCACAGACTCGCTATGAGGATTGTGCAGTCCACTTCACAGGGAACATTTTATCTAACCACACATCTGTTTCTAACACATCTGATTGTTTGTCTTCGCCAGAGGAAACACTGGACAGTTTTGTCCTGGTTAAAGCTGAGCCACAGAGAAGCCCACTCCATTTTTAAGTCATTTTATGAATCTTTGAGAGAGAGGAGCCTTTAAACCTGATGAATTGCTCTCTTCAGACTGGGGCCAGCCTTCAAAGAAGCTGTGGGGAGACAACTTAATACATTTTAACTACAGACTGGAATGAAACTTACTATTTGTAAACAACATTTTTGAAAAAAATACACAAAGCATTTTGTAGATAGCAAAACATTTGAGAAGTTTTAGGATGAACTGCAGAAAGGCTGTCTACCTAGATTTGCCCTTGTGTTGATAATGCATGTTGGTTGTGAGCCAAGTTTATGCTAAAAAGTAAAATATTTTTGGTTCAGTCTAAACAAGGAACAATAGAAATAAGCGGAAACTTACCTTTTCAGATAAGATAAATATCATTATGTACATGTTTCACTTTATTTTCACTTTCAATTCTGTTTAAATCCAGCTGAAATATGTAACAACTGAGGGTCATGACATGTTTAGTGATGAAATAATGTCCTCTGGTGGCTGCAGCCGGCACACCACTCTGCAAAGGAAATGCACAGTGTGTCTGCATGATGATAAATACTCTACTCCTGCTATAGTAAAAGACTGAACCATTCCCCAAAACGTGAATAAATCCATCATTAGGTCATCTCCCTCAAACAAAGTGCCCTTGTGTGTCGTCTTTGTGTGGCGTGTGCATTTTTCTACTGCCCTCCTACAAACCCGTTTATGATGTACGAAGAAACAACCAGCTCACTATGCAACAGCTGCAGCATCACAAGGACCACCGCACTTTCATACTTCTAATACTTACGGTACGTCAACAGTTTATGAGGGTAATTTAGGAAATATTTGGGCAGTTTTCACAGGCGCTAAGCAATGAGACTTGTCAGACTTACTTTTTCTTCAACAAGTGTGGTTCTGTATTACTCTCATTGTTAAAGCTGAGGTATCTAACTGTTTTCTCATAGAAAATTATGTTTGTCCCCACGGAGAGAATATTGTAGAAGTATGATTTTGTAAACATATCAGTCTAAAGCATGTATTTGCCTTTATCGTATTAGGAATCATGTTATTTTTTGCATACGTGTAAGAAAGAGCCCTGTGAGTCCCTTTTGCCCCTTTGGGCTGCGAGCTGATGAGGGTGGTCCTTTCTTTTTTAGTTTTATGTCTGAAGAAGTTGATCAAAAGATGTGACAGAATCGCAAAATACATGCATGTCAAACTAGTAATAGAAAAAATCTGTTTGATATTCAGAAAATGTATTACATTGAAACTGAGGTAACCCAGCTTTAAGGGAGATTGAAATGATATTAAATACTAAGCATTGCTGTTATTGGGCATTGAATTTCCTTCAAACTCTTTACAGGAAACGCCAAGACCACCGGGATCAAAGGAATCTGTTGAATGAATATTCCAGACTGAAGATTCCAGGCGATCTTTTTCTAAAGATGGCATCCACGGGTCTACAGCTGGTGGGGATCGTTCTGTCTGTTCTGGGCGGGGTGTTCGGGGCCCTGGTGTGTGCGGCCCCTCTTTGGCGTGTGTCTGCTTTTGTCGGGGGAGAGTTGGTGATCGCCCAGGTGCTGTGGGAGGGTCTCTGGATGAACTGCCTGTCCCAGACCACAGGACAAATCCAGTGTAAGACGTACGATTCCACACTCGCTCTGCCCTTCTCTGCCCAGGCCTCACGGGGCCTCACTGTGCTCTCTCTGCTCCTGTGCCTGCTGGCCTTGATGCTCGCGGTGGCTGGGGCAAAGTGCACACACTGCATGGGTGCGACCAGCCCCTCGTCCAAAACCCGCGTGGCCCGTGTAGCTGGGGTGCTGTTTTTCGTGGCCGGACTGATATACATGGTTCCCATCTGCTGGACGGCCTACGCCATAATCAGGGACTTCTATGACCCCAATATTGCCGCACCGTTTAAAAGGGAGTTGGGGCCAGCGCTGTACCTGGGATGGGGGGCCAGTGTGCTCCTATTGGTGGGAGGGTTTCTGCTCCAGCACGGCTCTACTCCCCCCATAACCAAAGTAAAGCCCCTAATATCAGCGCCAGTAAAGGACAACCCAAAGCCAGCAGAAGTCAAACAGCCTGAGAAGTCTTTTGTATGACCTTCAAGTCCCTCCATAACCTGGCTCCTTCTTTCCTCACTGACCTCCTCCATCATCACTGTCCCAACCACCGCCACAGATCCACAGACTCCAACCCCCTCACTCCCCTCAGGACTAAACACCGAACCTTGGGCGACCGAGCCTTCGCAGCAGCCGCCACCTCTCTCTGGAACTCACTCCCACAACCCATCCGAAACTCCCACTCAGTACAAAACTTTAAATCACTTCTCAATACCCAGTTTCAGCTTGCCTTTCCTTCATTTTGTTTATTGTTATGTATTTTGTAAAGCGTTTTTGAGTGTCCAAAAAGCGCTATATAAGTTTGATGTATTATCTGTATAATTATTACTATTATTATGAGTATTTCTATCTAAATGAATTGCATGTATCGTCCAAGTGCTCTCGTAACAGTGTGAAACAGTGGACTATGTGGTATGACGTCAACTTTCCTCCAGATCTTCACTGGAAAAATCAACACACACTGAGCCACATTGAAGAATGAAACTAGATCCAATCAAAACTGAATGTTGGATGATAATTACTTACTAACGTTTTTTGTGATATATTGTTTCAGTTTCAGTTTAATTGTGATATCCTTTCAAAGACCATGTGCAGAGTGTGATGTGGAGAGTGGGTGCTGTGATGTGGGCAGATGTAAAATTTTTCTGATGTGTGTTACAAACATTGTGTGAATTCCTCTGCATTTGTGAGTACGAGTGGGAGTTCGGCTGTGGTCACACGACGAGCAGTGGGCACTCTCAATCTGGTGCTTGTTTTCTACCCTTTAACTCATTTCTGTCCGTTGTCAATGTGCTGCAGTAGTAAATGTTGACATAAACGTTGATATTTTGGTTAATACAAACTTGACCTGGAAGAGTATATCATACGTTATAATTTAAACGTTGTATTTCAATGCAAATATCTTTAGTCACAACAGATTTCCTCCTTTGCTGCACTGAAAGAGCCAAAGTGAGTCAAACAAAGCAGAATTAAGAATTACTTTGAAGAAGCATCACTAAATATTTATAATTTTTACTGAGATCTACTACTTCATTCCTTCTTACAAACTGTATTTGTGTTTAACGTCAATAAAACACATTTATCTTACAATCTGTTGCCTATTGTTTACATTCTAAGTAAAATCAAGGCCATATATATTAAAAGTTTAAAATACGGGTTAAGTGTGAGCCAGTTTGCTGATCAGGCACCACAATGATTCCTCTTGTGCTGAGTGGTTGGTTTTTAAAGTGTTGTGTTGGTAAAAAAGGAAACCAGCTCCAGTGTAGCAGAAGAGTAAAAAGAGAAAATGATTCCTTTATAAAGAGTTTTTTCTTTATTTCTCTCTGAGTGACTTAACAGCCAACAGCGAATACATATATAAATCTATATTCAGACAAATTCAATGAGATTGGGAAATTATTTAGATGTATTCATTGATTACTTTTAAAGTACAATTGAAAAAGAAAATGAAAACGTTTTTTTTTTTTTACTCGGACAGTGGATTAATTTACATAAATTATCCTCGTCAACATTTCAAAGACTGAAAAAACAGCTAGTATATATAACAATATTAAGTCCAGTAAACTGATTGTATTTGGGCTCAGACCAGAAGCAAGCAGCTTATCCCCGCGGTGGTGTCCGCTGGGTCCTAGTGCCGGCCACCAAAAAGCGCTCAGACAGACTTATTTTTAAAACAGGACAGATACAGTGAGAATAATGTGGAGGTGCCGGCGTGCCAGTGTTTATCCCGCTGCGTGCCACATGTGGCACGCGTGCCCTAGGTTGCCGACCCCTGCTCTAGTGGGAACATCCAGTGATAATGGAGTACTGTCAAAACACCACTAGATGGCGCCATGCACTCAACAGCTAACAGCCACGCAATAATAGATCACATACATCTCCGTGTGACCCTTTACTGTATACTGTGCTGTACTATAACCTATCACAAGGCCGTAACGAAAGTAAGAAACGAAAGTGAACAAACTTGATCATTTAACTTGACTAAAGCGACGGCATTGGGAAACAGGACGTAGCAGAGTCGTGTCCTGCGTCTTAAAGTGACAGGAGCCTGAATATGACACTGTATTGGACGTGAACGGTGATGCCACTTTAAAATCCGCGTGTGTGTTCACGCAGTGGAAATGTGCGCTTCTTTTCAGGGGCTTTGTAGGTTCTTGCAGTCCGTTACCGACCTTTGATTCTCCTCCTCGGGGCGTGTAGGCAGATCCGTGCTCCCCACTGCCAATTGGCTGCTTTCTTCGGCCCAGTTCGCTGCACACGTCCGCCTCTGCGTGCGCTTATGTGCTTATGCGTGCTGCTGGAGCAAAGTCCCCGCTTCGAGCACTCTCTTATCGATATGTGTGAGGATTAACAAGCTTTGACGGCATTCTCACCGCAGAACCAGGCGCAGGGCTGCAGACAGTTGGGGCATCAGGCCCGGGTGACAGAGCCATGGCAGAGAAGAGGGTCTCTCGGTGGTACTTCGGGGGGCTGGCGTCTTGTGGCGCTGCATGTTGCACGCACCCACTGGATCTCATTAAGGTAACATGCTGTTTTTGCTGTGAATATAACGGTGTCTGCAGAGATTACAATAATACTCATAGTAATAACGTGGACTGTAGCAGCAGCACAGGCGCAGGGACAGTTGCAACAGGCCACACATGAACTCTGAGCGAGGACACTTGGAGCAATTAACCCAGAGATGATTCACTAGATCACCCTGCACGGTAACTAGCACATGGAGGAGACGGGAAAATTGGCCAAATTACTGGATGGCAGGGCATGTATTAACTTGTTCCTGTTTTGCTGCCTCTGAAGTCTGCTTTGTCTCATTTCGGCAGCCTCTATCAAGTTGCAGCATAGATGGTTGCACACACAAGTCATGTGCACTGTGGGTAGGCTAGTTAATTACAAACGTGTGGTTTTCTCAGGCTGGTCAGATGAGGGACTCTGATCCCTGGCTCAAAGAATAATTTATTTCTAAGAATATGTTATTTTCATTATGTGACCTTTGGCTTAAATAGTCATGATTGTGCTGAGAAGTACTAAAATGTGTACATTTTCAAAAATAGGAATTGGCACAGTCAACAGTTGACAAACATAATAAGTTGTATGTACCTAATTATTTATTGTCTATGTTAAATGCAAATCAATTGTAAACATATGCAACACTTCAGTGAACCTTGCTGGTTTGTTAAGTATTTTATTGTTAAATTGGAATAAAAACAGCAACACATGAGGGATCTGTAGAGTAAAAGTGTAAAAAGCATGAGACAATCTCAACTTAAACATCAAGCAAAAGCAAATGTTTGCTTGGCTTTTCCCCCTTTTTTCTGGCTTTGCATGAGTAGCAAGCCTGTTACTTTTTGGTTTCTCTAATCTTCCATAGTAGATTTTTCTTCGGCTCTTTTGTTTTGATTGCCATGATTGTTACGACCCAGCTCAGCTCGGGTGAGGGAGGTAACAAATTAAAACCAAGATGTTGAATGGAAAAGCAAGTATTTAATAAAAGGCAAGTGAATGATAAGGAAACAAATCAAAAGGACACCACAGGACATAAGGGGGTAACTCAACGTTACCAAAATAAAAGCTACACTAAACACTCAACACTAACCCACCTAAAACAAAACACTAAACTGACTGTTGCCTCAACAGAAGCGAAGTGTCACAAAAACAAAACTCCAACGTGACAAATAAAAAGAGACAAACCAAATAAAAGCTAAAAGGACCATAAGGACTGTCTATACGTCATTGTCACCACTGTGACAAAGACAGACACTTTCGTAAGGACAGTTTGGCATACCAGCCACACACAGGCTGGCAGCCTCGAACAGGTGTGGAGTGTGGCCTTAAGTGGAGACTGACTCCAGGCGGGGGGAGCCGGACTGGCCAGGTGCACCGCCGCTCCTCCAATCAGCACCCGAGTCACAACCTCCGGGAGGCGGGAGGGCCAGTGATTGTCCAATGACAGGCCAGGGATCTTCAGACAGGAGAAGTTTCCACACACACACACACACACACACACACACAAAATACAAAAACAGGGAGCAATATGTAGGCTCAGGACCGTAACAATGATGTTAGGAATAGTGGTTCTTTTGGCACCCCCACCATGCTTCCTGCTGACCACTGCTTATATAGAAGTATAAACAGTCGGTAATGGTAGTACAGAATAAGCAGACCTCGAACATGGCTGAGAAGGTAACAGTCGATATTAAAAGTGACAATTTCTCACTACTATTTCAAACACATCAATGTTTTTATTTTTATTTTTGCATTTGTCCCAAAGTGTGTTTGTCTTACATGTTGTCTGTGATACAATAGAGTACAATTTGCCCTACCTTTTTTATATAACCTTACATAATCTTATTACTTGTGCTATGTATCTAATGTTTTTCCAGGTGCATCTGCAGACCCAGCAGGAGGTGAAGAAAAGGATGTTTGGGATGGCCGTCCATGTGGTCAGACACGACGGACTCCTGGCTCTGTACAACGGGCTCTCTGCTTCACTTTGTAGACAGGTATAACTGAGTAGTAGAAACCCTTTTACAGAGAGAGTTTTTAGTATTCTTTAAAGAAAAACAATGAGCATCAAAATTATGTTTATTGCCAGTGGAAGTTACAGGAAGTCACAAACTAGAAATTTGCTTTGGTTCAGGGTGCAATTGTGTTGTAAGAGTAAAAATAGAAATAAGGCATGCATAAAACAAAAATCTTCGTAAAATGTCTTAAACTTACTACTTTATACAAGTGCACACAAGATGTTTTTTCTTTGACTCTAAAGGTGCATTCCTCAACTGTCCTGGGGATGACCTGCTTTTCGTGAAGTGGTCTGTTACCCGCTTCCTGTGATAGATACAGCGTGTTATTGTCGGTCTGTTTGATATAAAACATGTACTTTCCTTATGAAGTCGTGTTGCAGACAGTTGCGAGTTGTCCTTTCCTTTCCCTTCCAAAAGTCCTTTCTATAGGCCAACAAAGTTTTTTGAGTATTTTGCACCACTTCTCTACACCTTCTAGAAAATAATTGAACCATAGTTGTACATTTGTGCTGACAAAAAATATGTGGAACTTTGTGACTGTTTTTGTTAGACGTGGATTGGCCTGAGAAGTTTTTTTCAGCTGCCCTCTACCACAATGTTAAATTATAGCCTCTTACTCTACTACCTACTCTGAAAATGTTTTGGTATCACATGAACACAACCTAATTATAGATTATTTCAGCCCGTATCTTATTATAGTTTACAAAGAGAAGACTTTCCTCTTCAAAGATATAACTTATAACCTAGTAAAGTGAAGTGCATGCTTGTCAAATTATATACATATCCAGGCAAAACAACAATATTATTTAGATAAACCTAAGCTAAAAGCACCAGGACAGAGTAATGCCTCAGATGACCGAGATACAGTCACTGCAGGGACAAGGGCACATTCTCTGTGATCTCTGTGCTACTTGTCACACATTCCTTCAAGACCTGTATCTGATGCAAGTGTCAGTCTGTGGGCTCCCTCTAGTGGTGGAAAATTGACTTGACTTCTTTTTTTTTTTCCTTGCTCAGATGTCGTACTCACTCACCAGATTTGCCATCTATGAGACAGTCCGTGACGTCATGGGCAGCACGAACAAGGGCCCTATGCCTTTTTACCAGAAGGTCCTGCTGGGAGCTTTCGGAGGTGGAACGCTCAAATTATGTGCTCTTTTGGGCTCAAAATGCACTTGTTCTCGCTAACCTTCACTTTCCTACAGGTTTTACTGGTGGTTTCATTGGCACCCCATCGGACTTGGTAAATGTCAGGTAATAGTTGAAATAGAATATACATGTTTCGTGTTGAGCGTGTGGTGGATGTTGACTATATCGTGTTTAGGATGCAGAATGACATGAAACTAGCGCCAGAGCTGAGGAGAAAGTGAGTTTTTAAAACACTTTTAAAATTGAGAATTTCGTAATATGAACATCAAATATATGGATGAATATGGATCTGAGTAAGAATTTCAATAACTAATAATTGCTTGTTATTTTTCAGTTATAAACATGCCGTTGACGGTCTTGTGAGGGTCTTCAGAGAGGGTAAGTGCTGCACACAGAATCTACAGTGTAGGGGTCGACCGATATGGGTTTTCAGGGCCGATATCGATAAGTAGTAATCAGTGTAGTTTCGGTCTGTATATTTATTTAAAACAATTTCAGGTACTTGGCGACAAGATGAAAAAGTATATAAGGGCTGAAAAAGGAATTGGCAGAAGTTAAAGATTATAACGCCCTACCAAAAATAATGTATTATGTTGTATACATTTTGTAACGCACCTTCCAAAACAGTTGCAAAGTGCTTCATACAACCACAGAAAACAGACTAATATAAGCAAAAAAACAAGATGTGTAATGGTGCGTAAAGCCTGAAAACAAGGAATGAAGTTAATACAATTTATAAAAATGCTTTCTTTTTATAGAAGTGTTTTTTTAGGAGAATTATATAATATGCTACAGAATTTTCCGGTTAAAGAGCTGACTCAGTGTAAGACAATGTCGTTTACTCTGTGGCTGCTCAGGACCAATAATCAGTGCCTCAGTTTTGTCTCTGTTGAGCTTTACACAATACAACAACATCCAGTTTTGTATTTCTGAAAGGTATTTAAAAGATGGCTCTAGTCTGTTGCACCAGATAATTTCACTGTAAGATAAAGCTGAGGGCAACATGTTGGTGAAGGTAGTCAAGGATGACGATAACTGATACATATGTAGAGCCAATATTAAATTGCAATAAAAGTGAATATAATGGTAACAAAATGTGAATAAATAAATAAATAAAATGTGAATAAAAATAAACATTTACCATTGAATCATTGTTTTGACTCTGAAGAAAAATAAAGAGCCCATATATATGAATATCTGTGCCGATAATCGGTTGTTTCCATAGTACGATGACCGGAAACTGATTATCCACTTGTTCATTTTTCAGAGGGATTGAAAAAGCTGTTTTCCGGAGCCACAATGGCATCGAGTCGAGGCGCTCTGGTCACCGTGGGGCAGGTGAGGGTCTCATTTCATACATTAGTCAAAGAGTGATTTGTTTCTTACATGTGTAAAACTATGTAGTGCCGTTGTATTCAAAGTTGTTGATTACGGTTCGGTTTTATGGCCATGTTTAGAAAGTTAAAAGAATGCACAAAGCTCTTAAATGGGAATCATTCTATTCGTGATGATTCGGCCTCAATACTTTCTTCCTTTTCCTTTTCTTTGAGACCAGGGCCAGCGCAAGATTTGTCCAAGATGTGGTTTCTCGGTGTGCAATGATTTTCAATATTAAGCAAACCTACACAAGGGACTTTTTAGTATTCTCTACAGTGGAAACCTAACATGTATTATTCATGAATCTATAACGTAATATACATAATTAAGATGTTTTCATTCTGTGATAATTGCTCTAATGGCAGTTACTTTTAATCAGTCTAATCTAAATATTCTGGGCTCCTTGAGATGTCATAAAAGATGCATGAACTTACGTTTCTGTCTCATGCTTTCATATGATGTGTTTTATGTGAAAAGGGAAGAAAAGCAACTTCATTAAAAAATGGTTGTTCGCAGTTGTTCGTGTGTGTTTTTGTTTAGTTGGCGTGTTACGACCAGGCCAAGCAGCTGGTGTTGGGCACCGGCCTGATGGGAGACAACATCCTCACACATTTTCTCTCCAGTTTCATTGCTGTGAGTATCTCGGCTCGACTTCGAACCTTTAAGATGTATGATTGTAGATGATTGTCCAAACGAGTAAATTGTTGATTGTTTAAATGAGGTGTAAGCTTCATTGAAGGTGTGTCCATGCTTTTAAGTTAGAATCTGAACACGTGTCCTTGGTCCGCATGATTTAGTTTATGTGAATATGAACACACAATTTGATCTCTGGTTTCGGCCGGACAGATTTGATTTGATTTAAATTATGAACGTAAAGAAATGGTACAGTAGATCAAAAAGAGGAAATGTCACATGTGTGAGCTCAGAAGCGTCACACACTTCTGTTGCTCTGCTCTGGCTCTGTCTTTTACCATAGAGCAGCAGAACAAATTCAGGCGGACTATAGCCCCTGAAGAAGCTCCTCCATTGACAGAGTGGTGTGTAAGGTAATCATAAGCTTCATAGATGTGGAACCAGCTGCAAATTCACATGAGACGGGCTGAGTCATTGAGAATGTTTGTACAATAAAAAACGTTTCAACATTGCTTCCAAACCAGTCCGGCCACTCTGGTCCCAGTCCCCATGCAGGCCGCTACACCCGATTGATCAGATCTTTCAAAGGCTATTTGTGACTTCGCCTTTGCACTAAAACTAAGGCATATAAACAAATACAAAAAAATATATAAAACTTTTGAACAGTCTTTGTAAATATAACTGCGATCACATATCCTGTATAAGCACGCCTACAGCAAATGTAATCACACACAATCTTTACTTTGAGCGTTTGATTTTCACACCTGCTCAGCTGCTGTAGTGTCATTAAGTATACCATGTTTTTTAGTTTTAGCTAGTCCATATGTGTACTTTTCTAATATAAGCATGGATGTTCCCTGTGCTGTTAATGCATCTGCTGGCCTTGTTTCAATCGTCTCAAAATCTCTCTAAGTCACCTCCTCTTATAATGCTCACTATTTATTTATCAGTCCTTTCATTCAGTTGTAATTACATTTTCCGAGGTTGTACTTGAAGCAGTCATAACCAGTATAATGTGTCCCTCTGCAGGGCGGCTGTGCTACCTTCTTGTGTCAACCTCTCGACGTGATGAAGACGAGGCTCATGAACTCAAAGGGGGAGTATACAGTGAGTGCATCTCGTATTGTTGGAATATTTACCACTCAGAGAAAAATATTGCTTGTCAAAAACTTGAAACGGCCTTCACAATTTACACATTATGTTTCAGGGAGTAACGCATTGTTTACGAGAGACTGCCAAGCTCGGCCCCATGGCTTTTTATAAGGTGAGATTTTTGATACGTTTCATGCACACATTTAAAAAGAAAAGAAAAACCATTTCTGTAGATTAAGAATAGCCATATCTTTTTACATGGTCCTTTTATGTTTGCTTAACCCCCTTCTCATTGTGCTTTCAATGAATTGATTAGTTAATGGGATGATGGAAGATCAGTGAAAATGGTATTTTTTTCAATGCATTTGTCCCAAACAAAGGCCCAGTGCTGCTTCTGGAGAATTTGATTAAGAATACTTAATACTAAACACGTTTTAATTTCCTTTTGCAGTCATTATGGAACTGTCTGAGTTAGAAAAACCTTTCTTAACGCTTTTAACCTGTTAATGTCTAGGGAAGATTTAAAAAAAAAAAAGATTATGTGAGCAATAAAGTTAGAAACTATTTAAAAAATCCATTAGCTGCGAATTCTTCATTAAGTTGTTGATTCTCTGAACAGATCACAAGTTTTCAGTTTCAATGATAAAAATGGTTTGTACTTAACCTCACTCATACGTTATACAACTATACAAATAAATATGCATAAAAACTTTCTGTCGGACCTTGGGGGACAGAGCCGTTGCCGTTGCCGCTCCAACCCTCTGGAACTCTCTCCCACTGCCCATTAGAAACTCCCAAACATTAAATCAGTCTCAAAACCCATCTTTTCAAACAAGCTTTTCCACAAACCCCCTTTTTATTTGCATTGTATTTTACTCCCCATGTGAAGTGTCTTTGAGTGTCCAAAAAGCGCTATACAAGTTTGATTTATTATTATTAAAACTAAAAATACTAAAGCCGGAAAATTTTCGAGTTCAGCAAAGATGACAGAGGCCGTAGTGGCATAACATGATTGGTCAAAAGCAGAGGATACACTTCCCTACGGGGGACTACATCGTTTTGTTTTTCAGAAAAGTCAAACAGACAAAAGGTGGCGAAAAAGGACTTAAAATCAATAACTGTAATGAACGAATGAAACATGCAAACTCAAAATGTAGACAAATGTTGTTGTGGAGCCAGTGTAGAAAGTGTAAATGTTCAACTTTGGCGCCTAAAGGTTTTAAGCAACATATTGACATGTACGTTGTAGCTATTGTTTGTTTTATTTAACCCCGGGACATTCCGTAAAAGCACATTTCCATAGCAAATATGTTGTTTGGCTTCAGGGCCTGGTTCCTGCTGGGATCCGGTTGGTCCCTCACACCGTCCTCACCTTCATCTTCCTGGAGCAGCTCAAGAACCACTTTGGGATTCTAATCATCTCATAGAAACGTCACATTGGACCCAGAGATAGAAAGATGTGTAGTGTTCGCCTCCTCTTCTACCTCTTAACCCGCTACTAACGCAAAAAAATGTGATTATTAAAGGAGACATATTATGCTTTTTGATGCAGGTCAGTATTATTATTTTGTTCACGTTGCTTCAATGCTGAGCTAACTTGGCTTCATTAATTGGCTTCAAACATGGCAGAACTGAAAAACCTTAGTTACATTGAAAAAGGCCAGATTTTTCTTCTCTGCATAAGATGGTGACAAAGAAGCCCTTATAAGAAATGTACATAATATGTCTCCTTCAACATAGGCCTATTGAATATGAAGAATTGCCTTGCTTGACATGACATTTTGTAATGTTATGTTCAGTATATATGTCCTGTTAAATTCAATATTTCGAAGCATATGCTTCAAGACCGTACCATGTTACAAAACTTACAACAATTAATTTAAAAGTATTGGTTCATTAACTAGATCGTGATAGATTGTTTTCTTTTTTAAATTTTCCGTATGCTAGAGACAAGTAATCGGTCACGTAGCTTAGAGTCCAAAATTAAACATTTTAAAACTGAATCAAAACATTACAATGTTATGTTCTATTATTGTTTGGCTCATTCAGTTGAATTTTTAGGGAATTTAATACATGTCAAAAACAATTTCATTCTTTATGCAATTTACAGTGGACCTAAAGCTTTTATCATTCACTGTCAGAGTTGGTGTACCCATGCCTTAGCCATTCCCAGTTATGTGTTTTTATTACTGAAGTGCTAATGCCGCAAAAAGGCCAAAACATTGACCATGCTTAAAACTGATGTTAAAATCAGGACCAAACTAAAATGCTGAATGTAACACGTCGTCTTGTTATTGTCCACACAGCGCTACATTCTTCAACTGTTTGTTTAGTTCAACAAGGCACTTTAATGATACTGTAATGGTACACTGGACATCAAGCTCTTAACAGATTTTGTTGCAGGAGCAGATCTTGGCTCTTGTTTTCTTATTTAGTCTATAAATTGTTGGTTTGGCTGTTGACTTGAATGCCTTACTTTTGTTGTCCAACAGGGGGCAGTGTTGTGACAATAATCTCAATACAGAAAACTTTGATTTGTTTTCCCTCTTGTCCTGTTTTATAGTTCCTTAATTAATTTTAATTAAATACTAATAAAAACGTGTTGTTTATTATTTGTACAGTTACAGAACCATGCGTGTGTTTTCTCATTATCCATAATGTGTTATAGTCTCCCTTTTGATAAAACCTTTTATTCCAGGCTCTAGAATTCTGATCACTTATCGAGTCTTTGCCTCCACTCATGCCCATGGTGCACATTCTGATTCATTTCAATTCTATCAATTCCATGATCAAAATAATGACACCTGTGAAAACAATTAAAACATCCATCCATTTTCTTCCCCTTTGTCCATATCTGGGTGGGGGAGCGGGGGTTAGCAATCAGCTGCCACCCAATTTACAAAGCACGAGCCCACCAGCCAATTTAAACTTGCTAATTTTAATATAATCTAATTAAGTCCTGTACCCAATTTTGTACAAGGATTGAGCTTTAACTGAATTTTTAGAAACTAGAATTATTTCCATTTTCTAGTTTCTAAAAAAACATATAACCATGTTTTGATACAGATGAGTTTTTAGGACTGAAGAAGACAGACCACACCACAGCTGACCACTGCCCCTCAGAGCAGACATAAAAAGGAAGAATAGGGGGGAAAGGATGTGTGTAATTTACTGTTTGCAAGGGGAAGACTTGCTTGATCGACAGAAAAAGAGAAACCCAGAAGTGATAGATGGACACAATACAAGTGGAGTTTTTGCAGAAGATGCTTTTTGCATACATGAAAAGCTTTCCTCTCTCAGAAGCACTGGACACACTGGTTACACATAATTATGGCTTTTAACAAGTTTGATAAGGCTGCACGGGGAATTGATCCATCTCATTGTAGCACAACACGATATTGTCCAGCGTAGAAGTCTAAAATATGTGTATAAACAGGATTTAAGACCTACAACATGCACTGGGACGGTTTGCAGCTGAGTGTGAAGAGGCTGGGATAAGAATTAGCACCTCCAAATCCGAGGCCATGGTGCTCGATCGGAAAAAGGTGTCTTGCCCTCTGGTGGAGAAGTCTTTCCTCAAGTGGAGGAGTTCAAGTATCTCGAGGATGGAGCGTGAGATTGACAGGCGGATCGGTGCAGCGTGTGCAGTGATGCGGTCGCTGTATCGGACCGTTGTGGTAAAGAGGGAGCTGAGCCGAAAGGCAAAGCTCTCGATTTACCGGTCAATCTTCGTTCCCTCCCTCACCTATGGTCATGAGCTTTGGGTAATGACTGAAAGAACAAGGTCACGGATACAAGCAGTCGAAATGAGTTTCCTCCGCAGAGTGGCTGGGCGCTCCCTTAGAGATAGGGTGAGGAGCTCAGTCACACGGGAGGAGCTCGGAGTAGAGCCGCTGCTTCTCCACGTCGAGAGGAACCAATTGAGGTGGCTCGGGCATCTGTTCCGGCTGCCTCCTGGACGCCTCCCTGGGGAGGTGTTCTGGGCACGTCCCACCGGGAGGAGGCCCCGGGGAAGACCCAGGACACAAAAAATTAGTTTTGACTTTCCAGGTAAAAAGCAAATGGTGACGAACTTCCAAGGCACTCGTGGTCAGTAAAAGTTTAAAAAGCCTTTATTTTCTCATTGGTATGGATTAAAATACGCACCAAGACCCAGGACATGCTGGAGGGACTATGTCTCTCAGCTGGCCTTGGAACGCCTTGGGGTCCCCCCAGACGAGCTGGAGGAGGTGTGTGTGGGGTAGTCTCTGCTTAGACTGCTGCCCCCGCGACCCAGCAACGGATGAAGCGGAAGAAAATGGATGGATGTTATAGAGTAGATTTGTTTTGGACGATGTGCAAATGTGAAAGGAACATTTCCTAAACAAAACATTGCAAACTCAAAATATGTTTTTGATTTTGTTTCCTGACGTTTCAATATTAAATTAATCTCTTTTTGTTTTTACCTTTTCATGAACAAAACCTAAATATTTAGGTTGGGTTTTTGAATGTATCAGAAGCACAAAAGGTTATTTACTCTGATTTGTTTAACGGAGCTCAAACTCTGCACTAACACAATCAGACAACTCATAACAAGAAGTGTGACATTTCAAGCCATGTTTCATTAATCCTTATCCATTTTTTATTTAGGAATATTGTGAGTCAACCTGTCTTTCATCGTATCAAGTTACCATCTCGAAATGAAAAATGCATGTAATAAATGCAGATATTACAAGACTTTGCAGGAGATGGATTCAGATTTGCTCGTAAGATGGATGTGTCTCTGGACTCATGGTTTGACAGAATGGTCCACAGGCACATTTTCATTCATACAGACGTACATATAGTAAGTAAGTAAGTTTTTATTTATATACCGCCTTTTCACTGCAGATCTGAGTCTCAAAGCGGTTTTACAATTGTTAATTTTTGGGCATTTGTCTCTCACTCCACACAGAGATGGGAGCGGGGTCACCAGTACAGGAGGCGCATGCCAGAACCGGAGTACCCGGAGGAAACCTACGCAGACACGGGGAGAACATGCAAACTCGAACCCAGGACCTTCTTGCTGAGAGGCAAGAGTGCTAACCACTCAACCACCGTGCAATTCATCTTTGCCTATGGAGGCAAAGATGAATTTCAATGGATTTAATTAGGAATAAAACTGCAGCTGGGTCTGTATAACGTGACCGTGTGGGCTGCACCCTCACAGGCCATAATGGAGTGCTAAAGAAACCATGTGCTTTATGGCCCAACCACACGCTGTCACACATGCAAGTGCTCTGAAGACGTACGGTCTGTAGGCTGCGATTAGCGGTCTCCATCATGAGGGCCACGGACCACAAATAGGTATCAGGATCAATGCAAAAGGTTTTAACAAATTCCATCACCAAGTTGGACTGTTGGTGATTGAGGGACAATACAGATGAAATGTATAATATGTTGTGTAGGCATAGAACATTTTGTGTGTTTTATATGGTTAAAAGAGACATGCTTTTTCAACTTCAGCTTCAACCACATTATAACTTGTAAATATCAGACACCTCTGCACTAACACTAACCCCGCTTCTGTCTTAAAGCTCCAGTCTCAGTCCTGTAATAGTAAGATGTCATTGTACAACTAGGAAATCACATTCAGAGCAGTTTTCTGTCCTTTACAACAAAAGTAATGACTCTAAATTACAAAAAATTAGCGTTTGTAATATGTCAGGTAAAATTACCATCCATCCATCCATCCATCTTCTTCCCCTTAATCCATTTCTGGGTCTGGGGGGTGGCAGTCAGAGCTGCACCCAGTACACAGAGCACCAGCCCCTCACTGATCCTCCTGCAGGTGCCGAGTCCACAGGGGCCTTGGTTATTCAGCAGGGGCTTCAGGCAAAGTGGGGTTAAGTGTCTTGCCCAGGGACACAAAGACAGCAGTCATCAGTAGGACTCGTGAAGTAGGTCTCATGGTGGGCTTGAACCCACAACCTTCAGGCTCCAAGGCCAATGCTCTACACACTTCATACTCTATTTGTTTTACGATATAATTTCACATTCTAGACAATTGGCAAAGTATTAGTCTCATGATAATGTTAGTGGCCTAAAATAATGCAGAATATTTCTATATACTGAAAAGATCCATAAATGTACTCATTATTGTCTAGGGTCAGTCAGTGCAGGCAATCGATAAAGATAACCATACAAATAAAATAAGTGCACCATTTTATTAAACAACTGTATGATTGTGCTGCACTTTTCCTATTGGAACAACCTTGATAGAACCACTGCGTTTAAAAAAACGTTTTTCATCGACCACCATTACATTTGTACATCAACATTCTGCATCAAACTGTGATCTCAAGGTTTTGGTATTTCATGAGACTGTTGCCACGGTGACTCTTAAGTTCTCAATGATGAATCATCTCCATTTATGGTTATTTACTGGTGTCTCCAGTTGATCATGTAT